CCATGCTCAGATTAAAAAGAGCAAAGTTGCTTATTTACCAAAGATTTGAGAATCTTAGATAAACATGGAAGCCTGGAAATGGGACGATATTTATCAGGATCACTACTATCCCCCACCCTTATGGATTGGCAGCACAAAAGCTGTTTTCCATACTTTTTGATTATTTCCTGATAACAATGTTAGATTTAAGATATGGGTTACTGAACCAGCAATCAGGGGGGCAGCACACTTGAGCAGACCCGGTTCCAATTGGTCAGCCCCTGAGGATTCCTTGGTATCTATAGTAAGTAAGGCATAAAGGACTTATTTTTCTGTGAATTGCCGAAATACAAAACTTCACTTCCATTTTCCAAGTCAATCTTCAAAATTCCCGAATCAGCGTTTGTGATGATTAAATGCATCAATGATGGCATTTGTGTTCGTAATGGGGCCAGGATCTAAATAGATTTGTTGGGGCAGAGAGGAGGAAGTGCAACCCTTCAGAGATTTGACAGTTTTCCCAAATTTAACTAGATTCCCCTTACAATCAGAAAGAGTGGTTACATAATAATCAGATATAGCCTTTCTGATTAGTCTTCCACATTGATTCCTCAGTTGCCTAAAATATTGCCAATCCGGGCCTAAGCCTGTGTTCCTGGACTTGACCCAGGCAACATTTCGTATTACAAACGACTTCGGATAATTCAGGAGTGAACCAGGCATTCGATGTACCTTTAACTCTCAGAGTTTGGAAGTGGGCATAATTATCTACATATTGAGGACATTTACAAAAAAGCTTAACGCTAAATCAGGTTCAGAGATAGCTGAGATAAAATCAAAGTCACTACAATAAAGATCATGTAAAAAAGCTTGTTCACTGAAGTTTTTAAAGTTCCTCTTAGTGAGACACGAGACTGAGATTGATGTATTCTCACATCTCTGACTCAGACAACTGAGCAATGCTCACTAAAATCCAGTGGGAACACTCCGCTAGCAAACATTTTTTGGGGAGTATTCGTCAAGATTAGATCAATCAGGGTAGATTTTGATTGATCTTTAGGATTGGGCCGTGTACGGTCAGTTATCAGCTAAGACAGGTTTAGCTCAGAGCAAATATCTGACACTGGCATCCTCCAATCAATATTAAAATCACCTAAAATTAATAGTTCAGATTTACCATACCTAGACAGCAATTCAGATAAATTGTTGATGGCATATATGTTATGTGTCCCTTCTTGAATCCACCAAAGAGGTCAAAACCGGTCCACTCCCTCACACTGGCCCAGTCCATGGTATTTCAGGCAGTGAAACTGTTCAACTGCCAGACTGGTAGCTGTGGGAGTGAACTGAGATTTCCGTAGACAGGGCTGGGTGGTTCTGCTTGTCCCAGAATAGAACAGTACTGTCACCAGATGTTCACTCTGTACCCAGGGGTTTGGAGGTAGAGAAGACTATATCAATTTTCAATCAATCAATTTTATTTTATATAGCCCTTCTTACATCAGCTAATATCTCGAAGTGCTGTACAGAAACCCAGCCTAAAACCCCAAACAGCTAGTAATGCAGGTGTAGAAGCACGGTGGCTAGGAAAAACTCCCTAGAAAGGCAAAACCTAGGAAGAAACCTAGAGAGGAACCAGGCTATGAGGGGTGGCCAGTCCTCTTCTGGCTGTGCCGGGTGGAGATTATAACAGAACCATGCCAAGATGTTCAAAAATGTTCATAAGTGACAAGCATGGTCAAATAATAATCAGGAATAAATCTCAGTTGGCTTTTCATAGCCGATCATTAGAGTTTAAAACAGCAGGTCTGGGACAGGTAGGGGTTCCATAACCGCAGGCAGAACAGTTTAAACTGGAATAGCAGCAAGGCCAGGCGGACTGGGGATAGCAAGGAGTCACCACGGCCGGTAGTCCCGACGTATGGTCCTAGGGCTCAGGTCTCTCAGTTGGCTTTTCATAGCCGATCATTTAGAGTTGAAAACAGCAGGTCTGGGACAGGTAGGGGTTTCGTAGCCGCAGGCAGAACAGTTGAAACTGGAATAGCAGCAAGGCCAGGCGGACCTTGCTGCTATATCTTGAAGCTGTGATACTTCTAATATTATGTGGACAACTTAGTCTATAAATCAAGCAGGTCAAAAACCTTTCCAAGAAAGACCTCTACTGTTAATCTGTTAACATTGTAGTATCTAGACCTCTCCTGTTAATCTGTTAACATTGTAGTATCTAGACCTCTCCTGTTAATCTGTTAACATTGTAGTATCTAGACCTCTCCTGTTAATCTGTTAACATTGTAGTATCTAGACCTGTCACGCTCTGGCTCCGGGACTGTGTTGTTTGAGCCAGGGTGTATTCTTTGGTTGTGTTGGTATAGGGTGTGTTCATTTGTTGTGTTTGGTATTGGTTTTGTTTTCCGTGTTTGGTCAGGTGACTCCCAATCGGAGGTAACGAGTGTCAGCTGTCGGCTCGTTATCTCTGATTGGGAGCCATATTTAAACTGTGTGTTTTCACCTTGTGGTTGTGGGTTATTGTTCCGTTTTCAGTCTGTGTACTGTTGGACTTCACGTTTCGTCAGTGTTTATTGTTTTGGTTCGTGCACTTTATCTAAATAAAGTCATGTTCGTTCAACGCGCTGCGCTTTGGTCTACTCATTTAGAAGACGTTCGTGACAGAATAACCCACCATAAAAGGACCAAGCAGCGTGTCCAGGAGCAAAGGGTCTGGACATGGGAGGAGATTTTGGACGGAAAAGGGTCCTGGACTTGGGAGGAGATCCTGGATGGGATGGATCGCCGTCCATGGAGCGAAACAGTGGAGAGGCGACGGAGAGAGGAGCAACGGCGTCGGCAGGGCCATCGTCGGAGGGACGAGAGGCAACCCCAAAAAGTTTTTTGGGGGGGGCACATGGCTTGGGCGGCTGGGCAGCAGGAGGCTGCCACAGGGAGACGTGGAGAGAAGGCTATCGGATTACGGGAGCCATTGGCGAGTAGAGGAAGGGAAGTTGTTGCGGCACGGCGTAAGAGACTGAGGTGTGTTACCAGTCCGGTCCGGCCCGTTCCTGATCCCCGGTTAAGGCCAGTGGTGTGTGTTCCCAGTACGGACCGGCCTGTTCCTACTCCACGCATCAAGCCCACGGTGTGCGTCGCCAGTCCAGCCCGGCCGGTTCCTGCTCCACGTACAAAGCCTACGGTGTGCGTGGCCAGCCCAGCCCGACCTGTTCCTGCTCCACGTACAAAGCCTACGGTGTGCGTGGCCAGCCCAGCCCGACCTGTTCCTGCTCCACGTACCAGATCCACGGTGTGCGTCGCCAGTCCAGCCCGGCCGGTTCCTGCTCCACGTACAAAGCCTACGGTGTGCGTGGCCAGCCCAGCCCGACCTGTTCCTGCTCCACGTACCAGATCCACGGTGTGCGTCGCCAGTCCAGCCCGGCCGGTTCCTGCCACCCGCACCAAGTCTACGGTGCGCGTCGCCAGCCCGACCCGGCCTGTTCCTGCCACTCGCACCAAACCTACGGTGCGCGTCGCCAGCCCGGTCCGGCCTGTTCCTGCCACTCGCACCAAGCCAAGGGTGCGAGTCGTCAGCCTGGGCCAGCCCGTTCCTGCTACTCGCACCAAGCCAAGGGTGCGAGTCGTCAGCCTGGTTCAGCTCGTCCCTGCTACTCGCACCAAGCCAAGGGTGCGAGCCGTCAGCCTGATCCAGCCCACTCCTGCTACTCACACCAAGCCAGGGATGCGAGTCGTCAGCCTGAGGAGGCTCGTTCCGGCTCCACGCATCAAGCCTAGGGTGCGTTTCGTCGGCCCTGTCCGGCCCGTTCCTGCTCCCCGCACCAAGTCTGTGGTGCGTTTCGTCAGCCCTGTCCGGCCCGGTCCCGCTCTCCGCACCAAGTCAAGGGTGCGCTTCGTCAGCCCGGTCCGGCCCGTTCCTGCTCCCCGCGCCAAGGCAGTGGTGCGCGTCGTCAGCCTGGTAAGGCCCGTTCGTCCTCCACGCACCAAGCCAGGGGCGCGCGTTGGAGGTCCTGATCCAGCAAGCTGGGTCAGATCGGACCGGGGGCACTACGGGGGGAGTGAAGTAGGGTGGTGGTCAAGCCCGGAGCCGGAGCCGCCTCCGAGGAGCAACACCCACCCAGCCCTCCCCTATTTTGGGGTGTAGGCGCGGTCGGAGTCCGCGCCTTTAGGGGGGGGGTACTGTCACGCTCTGGCTCCGGGACTGTGTTGTTTGAGCCAGGGTGTATTCATTTGGTTGTGTTGGGTATAGGGTGTGTTCATTTGTTGTGTTTGGTATTGGTTTTGTTTTCCGTGTTTGGTCAGGTGACTCCCAATCGGAGGTAACGAGTGTCAGCTGTCGGCTCGTTATCTCTGATTGGGAGCCATATTTAAACTGTGTGTTTTCACCTTGTGGTTGTGGGTTATTGTTCCGTTTTCAGTCTGTGTACTGTTGGACTTCACGTTTCGTCAGTGTTTATTGTTTTGGTTCGTGCACTTTATCTAAATAAAGTCATGTTCGTTCAACGCGCTGCGCTTTGGTCTACTCATTTAGAAGACGTTCGTGACAAGACCTCTCCTGTTAATCTGTTAACATTGTAGGATCTTGTGTTATTATGACCTACAGTTTGATGGCAATGTGTTTTCAAGTGAATAACTAAGCTATGACATTTAGGTCTGATCATTTTCAAAGAAACTGTGAATCAGGCTTTACAAATATATTTCTGACTAATGTCTAATTATTGAAAGAGACAACGAAAATATTTGTTCCAAAGGAAAATGTTTATTTTCATCTGTTAATCAAAGCATCAAAGCAAACATTCCTACAGTATCTAATTATTTAAAAAACAGAACACATCAAATCTAACACTGATAAAACCTCAGTCTACAGAGAGGATTGACACATGAACTCAAGCAAAGCCTCCTGTTAGTCTACATGTCAGTGATCAGTAAGACAGAGAACATCTGATCTCAGAACAGAGTCAAAAAAGAGGAACCAGCAGCCTCTCTCCACAGGGGTGTGTGACTGAGGGGTCCTACCCAGAACAGTCAGCCCTCCTCAGGGTCTTGGTGACTGTAGTCTGGGATTTCTGCTGGGCTTCACAGGTCACCTCTCCTGCCTTGGTCCACTCCTGGGCAGTGAGAGTCAGGGTGCTGCTCCAGCTGTACAGGCCGTCCTTCTCCAGGACCCCAGGACTGGCCTCCTGCTTCTTGCTGGTCCCGTCCACTTTCCAGCTCATGGTCCAGTCTGAGGGGAAGCCCTTGTTGGCCAGACACGTCAGTGTGGCTGTTGTAGTACTGGACAGCTCCTCACTAGAGGGGGCCAGGACGGTGAGGGTGGGGGCACTGTTACCTGGAACAAACAGAACACATCAACTAAGTAACTACATCAAGTACAGCTACAGTAAGATAGTATCTTCAGCAAAGGACACATCAAAATAAAGTGACCTCTAAATATGAATGTAGAAGTTAGATAGTTTAAAAGATGTGGAGAAAACACTAAAGTATTATGATACAAAGCACATTTATGAACCAAACAAGTATAAAGTGGTTAAATAACTAGAGTTACTAGTCATACGGTGTCAGTTACACGTCATACAGATATTGTTTAGGAATGGATCTGATCAGAATAGCCTACTCATATTCATAGTATATTCATCACATATCAACCATGTTAGATCATGACGTAGGTTACAAACATAACTGAGACCCTTTGTCTTCACACTAACAGTGAAGTCTACCATGAACACAATTCAACAATGATGAATACTATATACTATACTATTAAATAGTTGTTATATCAGAATCAGGAAATATACAAATCAGACATACAAATAATCCTACAATTTATCATTTTGATTCCATAAATATCTATTTGAAAGAAGGCTCATTCAAAAGCTCAATTTAACCAAAAATATTTGAGAGTTAAAGATCAACAATCGCACACAAACAGTAATACACAATGCAACAACTATATTCAATATTATTAAGTAGTTATCATTCTAGAATTATACTCTGCAATCCATCAAACCAGACATATAAATAAACACCTACATTTTAACATTTTGTTTAAACAAAATGTTATTTGAAAGAAGGCTTCGTCAAAAATAATAGAAATAACTATATTTTTTAGAAAGTAAAATATAAAAAAATAATAGCTGAAATAAATATCAAAAGAGCTTGTTACTTACTTCCAACATCAAGTCTGGTGCCGCTACCAAAAGTGTACCACAGTGATACAATCCCTATTACTGCTCGTACAAAAACCTCCTGCACATGTGGCAAGCTGAATTTCTTTAGACTGTGGTTCAAATAATTAACTCTACTATGGTATGAATACTGTTAAGAATATATTTCATCTACTCAATTTGAAATAAAGTGATTTTTTTTTAGTTTTCCTTAACATTGAGCAAAACCTACCTTTCTTGTACATTTCCTACTAGGTGCAGTATGTTTATTCATACAACCAATCTAAAATGTAGGCTAATCACTTCCATCTTTCAAAAATGCAGGTCAAATTTGATTAGATGTAATAACATTCATATTCAAATTGGCCATAGTATGTGTAGGCCTTATGTATTATAAAAAAAAAAAAAAAAATCCTCAATATTGAGGCACAATTAATAGAGATATTGACTCACAACATCAAAAGGGGAATAAAACAGTTAATTTTCTGTTTACTTACTTCCAACATCAAGTCTGGTGCCGCTACCAAAAGTCCACCACAGTGATACAATCCCTTTTACTGCTGGTACAAAAACCTCTCTGTGTTGTGATGCTGCAGCTGTTACAGTGAAGATCACTCATACATAAACATAATCAACACAAATACACTTTAACATCTTCCAGGTAGAGCAAACACTTCATATAAGCTGTTTCTAGATAATACAAATATGAATTGTATCTTAAATCCAGATATGAGTCTTTTTTCCTTCTTCTGTGTATCAGGTGTTCTCCTAGTCTGTAGGTACAGTCCAGCATTAGATCCAGTGTTGCTAGTATTCCTCCATATTGTCCATATGAAAGACAACAGCAGCAGCAGTAGTGATAGTGATCCATGTTGTATATTCCTTTATTAAAGATGTTGATCTCAGATTTAACAGTGGTGGTAAAGTCACAGAGGACAGACAACACTACCAGAGGAATCCTACCAGCTTTAGTTTAGAGAAGTGTTCACTAACTGATTAGAGGAACTTACATAAGAGAACAAGCATGAGTGAACAGACAGTTCATTATATCTGATCATCATCAGAATAAAAATACAATGGTGGTGTGACATAAAAGCCATACATGAGTTATTTGAGTAGAAAGAGTAAACAGTTGCTGTTTGATGTTTTTAAAGGGAAGGCAAGTAGCTAGCGGTTAGAGCATTGGCATAGTAACCTAAAGGTTGCTAGTTCAAATCCACAGGACAACACATTTACATTTTAGTAGACGCTCTTATCCAGAGCGACTTACATGAGCAATTAGGGTTAAGTGCCTTGCTCAAGGACACATCGACAGATTTTTCACCTAGTCGGCTCGGGGATTAGAACCAGCGACCTTCCGGTTACTGGCACAACGCTCTTAACCACTAAGCTACCTGCCGCCCACGGTGAAATGTCTGTCGATGTGCCCTTTAGCAAGGCACTTAACCCTAATTGCTCCCTGGTCACCGTTTATAATGGCAGATGCTGGCCGTGACCCCACTCTCCTAGGATGTCTCAGGGGGATTTGGGATATCCCTCCCCAAAAACATTTCCAATTCCCGTATAATACACGTGTGAATTGGACAAATATAAGCACCCACCTAATTACTATTATTAATTATAAAAGCAAACTATATAAAAGCAAACTCATGCAGGACAAATATATTCTAATGATGGGAACCTAGATTTGAAACACTGATTTGCATAATGTATCTGCCCCAGATACAGTCATTGAACACTTCATGACTGAGAGCTGTCCTTCATGACAACAGAACCCACAACAACCATGACTTTTATCACATTTACATTTTAGTCATTTAGCAGACACTCTTATCCAGAGCGACTTACAGTTAGTGCATACATATATATTTTTTATACTTACCCCCGTGGGAATCGAACCCACAACCCTGGCGTTGCAAACGCCATGCTCTATCAAGTTAGCTACATCCCTGCCGGCCATTCCCTCCCCTACCCTGGTCGACGCTGGGCCAATTGTGCGCCGCCCATGAGTCTCCCGGTCGCGGCCGGCTGCGACAGAGCCTGGATTCGAACCAGGATCTCTAGTGGCACAGTTAGCACTGTGATGCAGTGCCTTAGACCACTACACCACTCAGGAGTACTATGTTTCAGAGTCCAGAGTACTATCACCATCCTCATCTGGACACTTGCTTTCTGCTTTCAAGGTTAACGTTTTCAGAATATATTGTTGAAAATTAGTTAAATATACACAAAGCAATAATGTATATTAATGTTAATATTTATATTCAGAACTATTGATTACTATTCCAGAGGACAGGTCACTGTGCCTCTGACTCCTACAGTGAAAGCTGTTCTCCCAGAACAGCCAGTCTCTCTGAACTGTAAAACCAGCAGTAATGTGCATGGAGATTGTTACAATGGTCAGTCATCGGGCCATCAGTGTCTATCCTGGTACCAAAAGAAACCTGGATAAAACCCCAAACGCATGATGCTTCTAGGGAACACACTCCCAAACTCCTTGTTTATCAAGGAAGTATTCTTAGCTCTGGGACTCCATCTAGATTCAGTGGCAGTGGATCTGGGAGTGACTTCACTCTTACCATCAGTGGAGTCCAGGCTGAAGATGCAGGAGATTACTACTGTCAGAGTTACCACTACATCAATAGTAAATATGTGTTCACACAGTGATACAGAGTCATACAAAAACCTCCCTCAGTCAGACTGCACAGTGACTGTACTGCTACAGCTGGGACCTACTGCAGGTGCTGAGGGGAGGAGATGATCCAGTACAATGACACAGTTTGTAGTAGAGCTGAGCAACAATAGAGTCAAACTAGAGCTATGTCTAGAAGACCTTAGATCATAACTGATCACTAAATGTTTCTCCTGACCGTTAACTACATGTTGACTCTGTTGAGTAACTCAAAGAAAACCATCAACCAATCTGAATAGAGATAATGTGCAATGATCAAAACCCCTAAAGATGACCTGTGTTTTGAAATTGCTAGAATTTAATCAACATGATTCAAACACATACAATATAGCCCCTAAACATTACCCATACATCCTCCCTCACACCATTGTGGTAGTTCCAGAGAGCAGCACGTGAAGCAGGAGACTGTCAGTCATCAGCATCTGTCCACACATGGACTGCAGTTACTGACTCTGACCATTGGAATGAGACAGAAAGCAGATACTATCTGGTCTAATAACACAGTAATAACAACATGCTCCATTTGTAGATGTCTATAATCAATACATCAGTCACCATTCAGCACTTATATCAAAACCCATGTCAGTGATTAAGTAACTATCATGTTTCTACATCACATCAGTCTGACTGTCCAGGAAGACTATTTACATATAGGACACTTTGCATAGGCAGCACATGCTTCAGTGGTCTGGGAGTGTTTATAGCCCTGTGAGTTTAACACTTCATGACTGAGAGCTGTCCTTCATGACAACAGAACCCACAACAACCATGACTTTTATCACCATCTTCATCTGGATTTTTGCCCTCTGTCTCCAAGGTAATATATTTTACAGAAAAGGACCTGAATCATAGCAATAAATATATAACCTCATTACAGTTTTAGTGAATATGCTAAATGGACAAATGAATGAACAATTTAATGCTAATGATACATGCCATCTCTGTTTCAGAGTCCAGAGGCCAGTACACTGTGACTCAGACTCCTGCAGTGAAAACTGTTTCAGTGGGTCACTCAGTCAGTCTCAGCTGTAAGACCAGCAGTGCTGTATACAGTGACAGCAATGGACAGTGGTTGGCCTGGTATCAACAGAAGCCTGGAGGAGCTCCTAAACTCCTTATTTACTTTGCTACAACACTTCAGTCTGGGACTCCATCTAGATTCAGTGGCAGTGGATCTGGGAGTGACTTCACTCTTACAATCAGTGGAGTCCAGGCTGAAGATGCAGGAGATTACTACTGTCAGAGTTTCCACTATCCCAATAGTGTCAGGGTGTTCACACAGTGGTACAGAGCCGTACAAAAACCTCCCTCAGTCAGACTGCACAGTGACTGTACTGCTACAGCTGGGACCTACTGCAGGTGTTGAGGGGGAAGAGACAGTGACATGGAACACTGGTCACTAGATAAGGTCAACTGTGATGTAACAATATGGATAGAAAGCAATCATTCAGATCAAATGACCATCATCATCATCATGGTTACGACTTGTTATGTCTGTCATGGCCTGAAAGTGTATATAAAAGTTATTTGATGTTTTGAAACACAATACCTGTTCAAATGCAAAGCAAGATCTACATAAGTAAAACCAAATATGTTATGACCTCAACATTACTTCAAAGTTACAATCTCTTCAGGACCCCAAAACAAGTCCTCATGCGGACCTCACAACCAAATGTGTGATTTAAGTGGATTTGATCTTCTAGCATTATATTAACTGTTTTGATGAGCAGGTTACTGACTGTTATATCTGTGAATGAGACAAGATGATGGATCCGCTTAAGCGCCGCCAGTACATGCCTCCAGATACGGCAACATCGACTGATGTGGGTCGACGGGAGTTTGAGAAGGGGAATGAAGTGGGCAGCCTTGGAAAACCGGTCCACAATGACCAGGATGACTGTGTATCCATCAGAGGGGGGTTGTGTGGAAATGAAATCCAGCGAGATGTGGGACCAGGGGCGTTTGGGGATAGGCAGGGGTCGGAGCAGCCCTGCCGTGGGCTGACATGAGCTCTTCGTGCGCGTGCACACCGGGCAAGCCGCTACGAAGGCGCATATCCCCCTCAGCTGATGGCCACCAGAACCTCCTACGCAGGAACTCCAATGTCCTGGCGCTCCCCGGATGGACCTCCTCCCAGATTTGGCTCCCGCCGTAGCGCTGTTCTGACTAGCCTATCGATTCCCCACTAAACTGTAGCAGCAATCAGGGCGTTGGGGACAATATGATCGTCCCTCTCCACCAGGTCAACGGGTTCGAACTGCCGGGAGAGCGCGTCAGGCTTGGTGTTCTTCGACCCCGGACGGTATGAGATCGTGAACTGGAACTTGGTGAAGAACAACACCCACCTGGCCTGGCGCGAGTTGAGCCTCTTGGCCCCCTGAATGTAGGCTAAGTTCTTATGGTCAGTCCATACGACGAATGGATGGGCAGCCCCCTCTAGCCAATGCCTCCACTCCCCCAGGACGAGCTTGACCGCTAACAGCTCACGGTTCCCCACGTAGTATTTCCGCTCCGCCGAGAACAGCCGACGGGAGAAAAATGTGCAAGGGTAAGTCTTACCGTCCGTGAGGAACCGCTGAGACAGGATTGCTCCCACCGCAACGTCTGAAGCATCCACCTCCACAATGAACGGCAGGGACGGATCAGGATGCCCTAGGACCGGGGCCGATGTAAAGCACCGCTTAAGCGCATCAAATGCGTTACCCGCTTCCGGGGTCCAGGCGAAGGGGCGCACGCTCGTCTGGGTGAGGGCTGTCAGGAGAGCGACTAGGGAGCTAAAATTGCGAATAAATCGCCTATGAAAATTAGCGAACCCTAAAATCCGTTGTAGTTGCTTGAGGGATAAGGGCTGGGGCCAATCCAGTACCGCGCTGACCTTGGCTGGGTCCATCCGTAGGTCCCCCTGGGTGACGATGAACCCCAGGAAGGAGACTGTCTCTGTGTGGAACACGCACTTCTCCGCCTTGACATAGAGCTGGTGACGGAGAAGGCGTTGGAGGACCTGCCGAACGTGCTGCTGGTGTTCACTCATGTCCGCTAGCAATATTGAAAATATTAGCATTTCATCCAAATACATGAAGACGCTCTAGTCGAGGAGGTCCCGGAGCACGTCATTGACCAATGCTTGGAACACCGCAGACGCGTTGGCTAGACCGAACGGCATGACTTGGTACTCGTAATGCCCACTGGGTGTGTTAAAAGCCATCAACCACTCGTCCCCCTCCCAAATCCTCACCAGGTTGTAAGACTTTCGTAAATCCAGCTTGGTGAAGACCCGGGATCCTTGTAACGACTCGAATACCGTCGTCATCAGGGTGAGTGGGTGGCGGTTTTTAACCGTGACGTCGTTGAGCGCCCGGTAATCAATGCACGGCCGCTGACCACCATCCTTTTTCCCTACGAAGAAGTAGCCCGCGCCCGCGGGTGAAGTAGAGGGACGGATGTGACCCTCGACGAGTGCCACATCGATATACTCCCTCATGACCAGGGTCTCCGGCCGGGACAAGGAAAACAATCTACCTCGTGTGGGCATGGCACCCGGCAGGAGATCGATAGCGCAGTCATATGTCTTGTGAGGAGGTGGGCCCTTGGCACGCCTCTTACTAAACACCTCCCCCAGATCTCAATACTCCCAGGGAACGCCTGCCAGGTCTGGGCCGGTGACGGAGTCTGTAGCCGCCGTCCTCCCGGTGAAAACCGCAGCTAGGGCGGTAGGCGGTTCGGAGTGCTGGACCTGGGGAAGAGGTGAGGACTGGTAAGTGGTCTGGGATGGTGGTTTGGGCTGATGAGTGGTTGGTGGAGACCGGAACAGAATGGAGGCGGAGCGTCCCTCCAGGATGAGCCGCCCCATGGACCAGTCTATCCGGGGTTTGTGGGCGACCAGCCAGGGGTGCCCGAGGACGAGCGGACACTCCGGAGAGTCTACAATGAAAAACTGGATATCCTCCCATAGCCCTCCTGCCACCCGGACACGCACAGGGACAGTGCGCCGGGTGATGAAGCCCGACCACAACGGTCGGCCTGTCCAGGCCCATGACCGGAACCGTCTCGGAGAGGGAGAGTAACGGAACGCTCCACCCTTAGGCTAGCCCCGCGTCCATCAGGTTTCCTGTGGCCCATGAATCCACCAGTGCATGCGCCCGACGCGCAGTGCGGGCCCACTGAATCCTGACGGGGAGAAAAGTACGGGAGTCTCTGGGGTTGGGGTTTTGGTTCCTGCTCGCTAGCACCCCTCCCGATATTAGCGAGCCCTCCCGTTTCCTGGCTTCTCTGGGCATGAGTCGCAGTGGTAACATGTCTGGCCGCAGTAAAGGCAACATCCCTGGCATAGACGTCTCTGCTTCTCCATCCTGGACAAGCGCACCTTGCCTCATCCCTCTCCCGTGCGCCCTCTCACGACACCAATTGTCTACCCGCACTGAGAGGTCGACGAGGCCGTCCAGGTGCTCAGGCAGCTCCATGAAGGAGAGTTCGTCCTTCATCGCCTCCAATAGTCCCTGCATGTAAAGGATGACCAGGGCGGCCTCCTTCCATCATGCCTCTCGAGCCTTCCCTGCAGCCCTCTGGACGTCCGACGTACCTCTCTGGAGGTGGTAGGTGGGGTTCCCGCGATGTCACAGGCGAGACTGGAGACGCCGCTGCCGCAGCTTCCGCTCCGCCGGCTGCCGGGGCTGGCCGGGTGTCCACGGCGATCGTCAGCTGGCAGAAATTCTCTGTGATCTGTTGCAGGCTGCGGTCATGCTGGTTCAGCACCGCTTCCTGCGATGCCAATGCGCTATGATACTGTGCTGCCTCCGCTGGGTCCATATTGGCTCTGTTTTCTGTAAGGGTTTGTGTGAGGTGTGACCCAGGTGCAGTGCAGGATAGACAGTAGGCAGTAGGCAGAGATGGTGAAACAAGGATCTTTACTGGTGGTCCCAAAACCAGGATACAAAATAACGGACTTGTCACGATAAAATAAAGGAGGAGCAAATTGGTCTCCAAAAACAGGCTGACAGCGAACATATGAAATACTAACTTAGACTGAAAACAACAATGAAACAGGGAGAACACTTCTCAAGTACCTGTACATATGTCTTGCGATCAGACACTGAGTAGTACTGTTTGGCATCGAGAAACTAGCAGAGAAAACAGAGCAAGGGATCACAGGGAAGTGAGGGAATAAATACACAGGTGAACAGGTAGACACAGGTGACACCAATAGGATAATGATTAGTCCAGACTGTGAGTGAGGAGGTGCCTAAGGTTGTCGGAGGATGACACCTAGTGGGTCGCTCCGGAACTGCGACCCCCTCCTGTAACAGACACTATCTACCAGGGTGGGGGTCAATTCCATTTCCAGTCAAATCAGGAAGTTCACTACAATTCCAATTCCAATTCTCTTCAATACTTTCGATTTTATTTTTTTGGTAATTGGAGTTTGGTTAACTTTTTGAGTTGAAATGGAATTGACCCCAACTTTGCTTTCTACACTATCAACATACACTATCTACATACACTATCTACACTACACTATCTACACTACACTATCCACACAACACTATCTACACTACACTATCTACACTACACTATCTACATACACTATCTACATACACTATCTACATACACTATCTACACTACACTATATACATACACTATCTAAACTACACTATCTACACTACCCTATCTACATAGACTAGATACAATATCTACACTACATACACTATCATAGTACGTTAAGTACAATATCCATTTTATCCATCATTAATTACATTATGCCATATCTGTTATGTCTCCCTCCCTGAATCCACCTTAGAGGTTAAAACCAGTCACTCCCTCACATCTGGCCCAGTCCAGGGTATGTCAGGCAGTGAAACTGTTCAACTACTAGACTGGTAGCTGTGGGAGTGAAACTGAGATTTACATAGACAGGGCTGGGTGGTTCTGCTTGTCCCAGAATAGAGCAGCACTGTCACCAGATGTTCACTCTGTTCCCAGGGGGTTGGAGGTAGAGAAGATCTAGGGAAATATAATGAAGTGTAGACTACACATTGTTGAAAACCATTGCAAATTATATTAGGAATTAAACATGACAAATATGTTATGGAAAGTAACTGTTTAGCGGTGTGAGTTCTGAGAGCAGATCTTAGAGGTTTATTATCAAATATCACTAATTATTATCACTGGTATTGCTACTACAGTATAACAGGATAATTCAGTTTTAGAAATGATTGCAGAGTATTTGTTGGATCAGATGAAAACATGAGAGTAGCTATATGCTACAATGCTAAATTATGAAAGAAGAAGCTGATTAATCAAAATTAGCATGAAATGTGCTGCCTATTCATTACATTTACATTTACGTCATTTAGCAGACGCTCTTATCCAGAGCGACTTACAAATTGGTGCATTCACCCTATAGCCAGTGGGATAACCACTTTACAATTTTTATTTATTTTTTATTTTATTTATTTATTTATTTTTTATTTTTATTTTTTTTGTGGGGGGGGGGGGGGGTAGAATGATTACTTTATCCTATCCCAGGTATTCCTTAAAGAGGTGGGGTTTCAAATGTCTCCGGAAGGTGATGAGTGACTCCGCTGTCCTGGCGTCGTGAGGGAGCTTGTTCCACCATTGGGGTGCCAGAGCAGCGAACAGTTTTGACTGGGCTGAGCGGGAACTATGCTTCCGCAGAGGAAGGGGAGCCAGCAGGCCAGAGGTGGATGAACGCAATGCCCTCGTTTGGGTGTAGGGACTGATCAGAGCCTGAAGGTACGGAGGTGCCGTTCCCCTCACAGCTCCATAGGCAAGCACCATGGTCTTGTAACAGATGCGAGCTTCAACTGGAAGCCAGTGGAGTGTGCGGAGGAGCGGGGTGACGTGAGAAAACTTGGGAAGGTTGAACACCAGACGGGCTGCGGCATTCTGGATGAGTTGTAGGGGTTTAATGGCACAGGCAGGGAGCCCAGCCAACAGCGAGTTGCAGTAATCCAGACGGGAGATGACAAGTGCCTGGATTAGGACCTGTGCCGCTTCCTGTGTAAGGCAGGGTCGTACTCTCCGAATGTTGTAGAGCATGAACTACTACTACTACTACTACATCCCTGCCGCCCAAACCCTCCCCTACCTTGGACGACGCTGGACCAATTGTGCGCCTCTAGAACTACTACTACTACTACTACTACTACTACTACTGCTACTGCTACTACTACTACTACTACTACTACTACTACTACTACTACTACTACTACTACTACTCTATAACATTAGGAGAGGAGAAGGGAGAATAACTACCCAGAGGAGGGGGAGAAAAGACCCTGGCCATGTCTGAATACCCATACTACCATACTAAACAGTATGCGAAAAAATAGTGTTTTCTAATATGTGAAATTTCGAACATGCGAACATACTCCGAATGCGTCCGCTAATACGCGATTGCATTGACTCCAGCCATTCATTCATTTTTGTGGCAATTTATCTGATTACCAGCTGTTGCCAAAAACGTGAGTCGGAAAAGACGAGTTAATTCTACTTGATTAAACACCAAAATGAGTAAGCAGTTTAAGTATATAGTAGGCTAATATGGGTATTCGGACATGGTCACTGTGTTATCAGTGAACAAAAACCATTTCAGATTGACAGTAAACAGTATAAACAACTAGCTACAGTACAAAGAACAATCAAGAACAACCGAGAACAACCAAACACTTAATCTATGAAGAAATAGGCAAACGAAAAAAGTCTGGACACATTTTTTGCCAAAACATGTAAGGTACATTCATGCTCTACAGTTTAGCCTTCAAAGAGCAACAAGACACCGGGGGTTTCCCGGACACAGGTTAAGCCTAGTCCTAGACTAAAAAGCACTTTTTATGGAGATTCTACGTTGAGCTTGCTTTTTATTCCAAGACCAGGCTTATTCTGTGTCTAGGAATCCGCCCCTAAATCTAGAAAGACATGCAGTAAACACATACCATATATAGTCTGGATAGAGTATCATTTAATGTGCACAATGTAAAATCTGACATGAAATATCCATATTAATTTATGTCAAATCTACTCTGAGATACAAGCCCAAAACGACCTCAAAATACTATTCAAAACTATAGATGAGGTTCCCCTTTAAACCATGTCAGTGTTAACATCAACCATGAATACAATACAAACGGTTGGTTTCATTATAAAAATAGTACTGGCTACATCTCAACAGAACAATGAGCTGACATGCAATACTATATATTAAAATGTGCACTTTTGAAATTGCATGTTTGAATACTTATGGTTTTATTTCCAAATAAGCTTGGTGGTATGTGAACAATTCTCTCACTTCGGTGACTCTCCCCTCTACCAATCTACCAATATGTCCACAGAAATCTCTGAAAAGATATAACCTAAAAGTCTTTCCTCTGGAGAAGATGATAACATCTCATAACGTTGTTCAATAGCATGATTACATTTTGTTTTATCAGAGAAGAAAGACAAAAATGGACTTACTTTTAAGCACCAGTTTTGTGCCGCTTCCAAAAGTCCACCACAGTGATTCATTCTGGTGAAGTCTCCATTCAAAAACTTCCTTCACACAAGAGTGAGAACCTTCACACACAGTGCACTCTCAGTACCACCCGAATAGTACTGAAGTACGAGTATAATACAATAGGGACTGATAGTACTGAAGTACTAGTATAATACAATAGGGACTCATAGTAATGATGTACTAGTATAATACAATAGGGACTGATAGTACTGAAGTACTAGTATAATACAATAGGGTCTGATAGTACTGAAGTACTAGTATAACACAATAGTGACTGATAGTACTGATGTACTAGTATAATACAATAGGCACTGATAGTACTGGAGTACTAGTATAATACAATAGGGACTGATAGTACTGAAGTACTAGTATAATACAATAGGGACTGATAGAACTGGAGTACTAGTATAATACAATAGGGACTGATAGTACTGAAGTACTAGTATAATCAAATCAAATCAAGCTTTATTTATATAGCACATTTCAGACATGAAATGCAATGCAATTTGCTTTACAGGAAAAAACTAATAAAAATCTATGAAAATAAAAGCTGAAATATTTTCTAGACAACAAACATAAGATAAAAAATAAAAGAATAACAAACTGAACAATAAAAAAGCACCAAAAGGAAAAGCAAAGTAAAAAATATGTGTTTTAAGATCTCTTTTAAATATGTCCGCAGTTTCGGCTGGGGGCATAATAACTAAAGGCTGCCTCTCCATGCCTCTTGGTCCTAGGCTTTGGGATAGTTAAAGGCCAGTGCCAGAGGACCTGAGGGACCTACTGGGTACATAACTTAAAAGCATGTCTGACATGTGTTGGGGTGCACAATCGTGGATTGATTTGTAAACCAATCTTAAAATTAATCCTAAAACTCACAGGCAGCCAGTGCAAAGACCTTAAAACTGGTGTAATGTGTGCTCTCCGTCTGGTCTTGGACAGTACCAGTGCTGCATTATTCTGTATGTTTTGCAGTTGACCAATGGCTTTCTTGGATAGACCAGACAGGAGAGCATTACAGTAGACAAGCCTGCTTGTAATAAAAGTATGGATGAGTCTCTCTGTATCAGCCTGAGAGAGAAATGGCCTCACCTTGGCAATGTTCCTCAGGTGGTAAAAAGCTATTTTGGTCACATTCCTAATGTGTGATTAGAAATTTAGTTCAGAATCTAAAATAACAACTAGGTTTTTTTAACTGGTGTTTAATCTTTATTGCCCGTGAATTAAAAAGTTCGACCAGATTCTCTTTCTGTGCTTTGGCTCCAACAATAACTATCTCGGTCTTGTCTTGATTTAAATGGAGGAAGAGAGAGCCATCCAAATATGTAAATCACTAATGCAGTCTAATCATTTATCCGTGGAGCTAAAATCCTCTGGTGACACAGAAATGTAAAGTTGTGTATCGTCTGCGTAGCAGTGAAAATCAATGCTGTGCTTTCTGATAACGCTGCCAAGGGGTAACATATAAAAACTGAACAGTACCGGACCCAAAATCGAACATGTGATATGTAAAATAACTCTCAACCCGTTAAAAAGGTCCTAAACCAATTTAGAACTGGACCGGAGAGGCCAACCCACCTCTCCAGTTTCCAGAAGGACATCATGGTTAACAGTACAATAGGGACTGATAGTACTGAAGTACTAGTATAATACAATAGAGACTGATAGTACTGAAGTACAATAATAATACAATAGGGACAGATAGTACTGAAGTACTAGTATATTACAATAGGGACTGATAGTACTGAAGTACTAGTATAATACAATAGGGACTGACAGTCCTGATGTACAAGTATAATACAATAGGGACTGATAGTACTGAAGTACTAGTATAATACAATAGGGACTGATAGTACTGAAGTACTAGTATAATACAATAGGGACTGATATTACTGAAATACTAGTATAATACAATATGGACTCATAGTCCTGGGTTATGAGTATAATCCACTGTTGAACGCAGATCATTAAATGTTCATCTTGAATTACTGATTAACATAAACATGATCAAATCATCTGTATAATCTGAATCATAGTTAACAGTTGAATGTGGGTCCTTACCAGGAAGAATATTTACATAGGAAACTTTGCATTGGCAGCACATGCTTCAGTGGTCTGGGAGTGTTTATATCCCTGTGAGTTTAACACTTCATGACTGAGAGCCGGCCACTGGCCGCAAAAGGCGTGGATTTTTGAAGGGGATATTACGGCCACACAAAGGGGATGCCGCCAGGAAATTCTAGGCATTATCAAGTGCTTGTCAGATTGTGAATTAGAGACTGATGAAGTGTGTACAGTCTGCACAAAAACAAAGCAGAGCTCATGCCTTTCATGCAACTATTTTCAAATCATCATTAGAGTCATGCAGCCTTAGAATGTATTAAAAATCAGAACATATAGCCCTACGTTTGTATCACAACTAAAGTTAATTAAATAACTCTAAATTAAGCATATAGGAGTACCTGTTTCTTTGTTAACCGCTCAACACAGAATAAGCCGCATGTGCGCACTCCCTCAAATCGTTTGGAGAAAATATCCTTTCTATTTTATTCAGCTATATTCATTTGTATTCTTCATACTATAAAATCATGTAAAATAATGCCATGGAATTCTAAGCAAATCTTTTCAGCTAAATTAACTAGTGTAGCCCACAGCCATATGGCATAGCCAGATCAGGACAACTCAGAGTATGCTTTTCTGTTCTTCTGAAATAGACTATATTTTCCTCATATCATGTTTCTTTAGACCTGTCTAAAATAAATAATGGATTTATCGTGAAGGTGTAGGCTATATTACATGGATTTATTTCACTTTTTAAAATTTAGATGTTCCAAAGGTCTGCATCAGTGACTTGTAGGCTAAGCGTGGAGGCCAGGAGATGCTAAACGTGTTTATGTTAATTAACGGTCAATTACCATGAGACCGGCAGTTATTTACTTGACAATCACAGGCTGACAAAATTTCATGACCACCACAGCCCTATGTGCACCCAATGGTGTGTTCGGCTGAGCGTACCACCCTCTGTAGTGCCTTGCAGTCAGTGGCGGCGGAGTTGCCGTACCAGGCTATGATGCAGCATGACAGTATGCTCTCGATGGTGCTCCTATAGAACACTGTGATGTCCCTCGGGGACAGGCCGAATTTCTTCAGCGTCCTGAGGTTAAAGAGACGCTGTCGTGCCTTCTTCACCACAGAGTCCTGTGTTTTGACCATTTCTGCTCCTCGGAGATGTGTACGCCGAGGAACCTGAGGCTTCGTTGATGAGGATGGAGGCGTGCCCAGCCTGATTCCTCCTGAAGTCCAGAATCAGCTCCTTTGTTTTCCTGAGGTAGAGGTTGTTAACCTGGCACCACACCATCAGACTACCTACCTTCTCCCTGTAGGCTATCTCGTCATTGTTGGTAATCAGGCCTACTACTGTTGTGTCATCAGTGAACTTGATGATGGAGTTGGAACTGTGTGAGGCCACGCAGTCGTGGGTATACAGGGAGTACAGGAGGGGACTGAGTACGCACCCTTGTGGGGCTCCCGTGTTGAGAATCAGTGTCGAGAAGGAAGTGTTGCCTACCTTCACCACCTGGGGGCAGCCCGTCAGGTAATCCAGGACACAGTTGCATAGGGAGGAGTTCAGACCCAGGGCCGTGAGGTTTGTGGTGATCTTATAGAGAATTATGGAATTGAAGGCCAAGCTGTAGTCGATTAACAGAATTCTCACATTCCTCTTGTCCAGGTGGATGAGGGCAGTGTACAATACAATAGTGATTGCGTCGTCCGTGGATCTGTCAGGGCGGTAGTCGATTTGGAGGGGGTTGAGTGTGCAAGGGAGTGAGGAGATGATGTGGTCTTAACTAGCCTCTCAAAGCACTTCATGATGACAGAAGTGAGTGCTACGGGTCAGTAGTCATTCAGTTCAGTTACTTTCCCTGGTGTTGTGTCTCATGTGTATACTGTATGGATGCTGCTCTCTTGGCCAGAGCTCACTTGAAATATGTTTTATCTCAATGTGACTTCTCAGGTTAAATAAAGGATAAAATAATCAAATGAAATCTTAAGATGCAGAGGAGATGCTGGGTTTCATGTATTGTAATGCTGGTCTACAGAGTCCCAGTGTGTCTGATCAGAGACACAGGAGAGGAGGGAGGGAGCTGAACTCAGTCAGGAACAGAGTAGCAGTCCTGCACAGTGGATCCCCTCTTCTCTCAGTGTCAGTCCAATAGTCCAGTAGTCCAGTAGTCCAGTATTCAGTCCACACAGCTCACTGCACTAACATTACTCTCCCTGCAGGGGGCGACACATTAACAATGATCACTGGGAGGTGGAAACTGACTAGTATTCCTCTTTTCCATAGGTATCAATATGTTACCATCCCATATTAGCATAACACCAATCAACAGACACATTTCTATATGTTCGTTAGTTACATGATACGTATATGACATTTACAAACATTTTCTCCAGCATTCATTATGGTTTTGTCTTGCTAAACGACATTGATAGCAATCATATGTCATAGCCTTTAAAACAATAATAGTCATTCTATTTATTCGCTTTTTATTTTCTTAATTTATTTACATATTATCATGGATTATGATTATTAGGTTACAGTTGTGGGAGTAAGATCATCAGATTGTAATGGACTCTCAGTTCTAATCTGATGGATACTTAGTGGTCTATGTTTACTGAATAATGGTGGATGGGGAGAAGACCAAAATACTATTTGCATAGTGATGATGCTCTTCAAAGACAGCACATGCTTCAGTGGTTTGGGAGTGTTTATAGCCCTGTGAGTTGAACACTTCATGACTGAGAGCTGTCCTTCATGACAACAGAACCCACAACAACCATGACTTTTATCACCATCTTCATCTGGACACTTGCCCTCTGCTTCAAGGGTGAAGAAAACTAAGTTTCATGTTTGTATAATGAAAAGTAAATAATTTGAGTGAACTGAAAGGTTGTTAAGAATGTGTTATTAATGCATTTTGATATTAGTTTTCTCTGTTTCAGAATCCAGAGGACAGGTCACTGTGACTCAGACTCCTGCAGTGAAAGCTGTTCTCCAAGGACAGACAGTCTCTCTGAACATTAAAACCAGCAGTAATGTGTATTATAATAACTATCTAGCCTGGTATCACCAGAAACCTGGAGGAGCTCCTAAACTCCTTATTTACTATGCTACAACAATTCAGTCTGGGACTCCATCTAGATTCAGTGGCAGTGGATCTGGGAGTGACTTCACTCTGACCATCAGTGGAGTCCAGGCTGAAGATGCAGGAGATTACTACTGTCAGAGTGTACACGTCATAAATAGTAAAGAAGTGTTCACACAGTGATACAGAGCCGTACAAAAACCTCCCTCAGTCAGACTGCACAGTGACTGTACTGCTACAGCTGGGACCTACTGCAGGTGCTGAGGGGGAAAGGGGAAAAGACAGTGACATGTTGAATATATTTAGAAAGCATCATCATGTTCCCCATCATCATCATCATCATCATCATCATCATCATCATCATCATCATCGTTATCATGGTTGTAACTCATTATATTTGTCATGACCTGAAAGTTCACTTAAAAAAGTTAGATATTCTGAAACAAAATATTGATGTATTTATTTTATCTTTATTTTACCTTTATTTTCCCATGTTAGTCTCATTGAGATTAAACATCTATTTTATAAGAGAGGCCTGGACAAAATAGCAGCACACAAAGCTTTACACACGATTTACAACATAAAACACAAAGCACTACAGTTTAAAACCATACATTTACACATTGAGAAGGCAACAATTCTTGGGAGAGATGTGGTGCATTTAGGGGTCAAAACATTGACAGCCCCCCACTTAATTGTCCACCATAGTTTTTACCCTAGCTAGTCAATCAAAGAGACGAGCTCCTACAATTTCATGTCCCTTTGAAGCTACTTTTTTTACCCAGCTCTGTACAGGACTTAGACACAGTCAACAAGATACAGTCATGTGTAGACGATAGTTGACATTTGTCATTTGTCTGCTGGACAATGTAGGTTCACAGGTGAAATGGGAGCTATTACCAGTCCACATGAGAAGCCAAACAAAAGGTGTTATGACCTTTACATTACTTAAACGTTACAATCACTTCAGACCCCCCAAAACAAGTTCCCAAATTGACCTCACAATCAAATGTCTGATTTTAATGGATGTATTCATATACAGCAAAATATTAACTTTTTTCCCGAGTAGGTTACTGACTGCTAGACCTGTGAATGAGACCTGATGCTGGACTCAACCATGAGACACATGTACACTATTTACATACACTATCTATACTATCTACACTATTTACATACACTATCTACACTATCTACACTATTTACATACACTATCTACATACACTATCTACACTTCACTATCTACACTACACTATCTACACTATTTACATACACTATCTACACTATATACACTATCTACATAAAGTATAATACTCATTTTATCTGTCATTAATTACATTATGCCACATCTGTTATGTCTCCCTCCCTGAATCCACCATAGAGGTTAAAACCAGTCACTCCCTCACATCTGGCCCAGTCCAGGGTGTTTCAGGCAGTGAAACTGTTCAACTACTAGACTGGTAGCTGTGGGAGTGAAACTGAGATTTCCGTAGACAGGGCTGGGTGGTTCTGCTGGTCCCAGAATAGAGCAGCACTGTCACCAGATGTTCACTCTGTTCCCAGGGGGTTGGAGGTAGAGAAGATCTGGGGAAATATAATGGAGAAGTTTAGACTACACATTGTTGAAAACCATTGCTAAAACATCTAATTTAATAAAATCATATTAGGAATTAAACACCATAAATGTACATATTTTATGGAAAGTAACTATTTAGAGGTGTGAATTCTGAGAGCAGATCTTAGAGGTTTATTATCAAATATCACTAATTATTATCACTGTTATTGGTACTACAGTATAACAGGATAATTCAGTTGTAGAAAGGATTGCAGAGTATTTGTTGTATCAGATGCACTTTTAATTCTGTTTGAAGACATGAGAGTAGCTATCTGCTACAATGCTAAATTATGAAAGAAGCTGATTAATCTAAATTAGTATGAAATGTGCTACCTATTCATGAGATAGTGATCACTGGAATCATGATTAAATCAACTCTTGGGGTTATATTTAAATCAAAACAAGCTTTATTTGAACTCAGAGGCAAGATGACATGCACAACTTAATCTCAAAATAGTTAATTTAGCACTCAGTATTACTGATATTATTCACTATTATACTTTAACATTCAGCCCTAAAACACAAATGTTTCCTTCATTAACACCATGTGGGGACTCTCTAGCCCCCTACAATGGCTTCTAGACACTACAGTGACTTCTCCGGAAGGCGGCTGAATCACTGGTGTCGTCGTGGGTGACCCTGCAGGTGTACACCTCTCCCTCTACCCAGAGTGCCTTGCTCAGGGTTAGGGTGCTGCTGTGGCTGTAGAGGCCGCCCTTCTCTTCTTCTGTGGTGGTCAGGACCCCCTCCGTCACCTCCTCCCCGTTCACCTACCAGCTCACCATCGCCCCCAGTGCTGCTCAGAGGACAGGGGGAGCAGAGACACTGTGGGCCTGACAGAGGGACCAGCTGGAGGAGAGAAGAGAGGAGGGTCAGCTACTAGCACTCTATAATGGAATATATTAGGAGAGAAGAGGAGAGGAGAGGAGAGGAGAGGAGAGGAGAGGAGAGGAGAGGAGAGGAGAGGAGAGGAGAGGAGAGGAGAGGAGAGGAGAGGAGAGGAGAGGAGAGGAGAGGAGAGGAGAGGAGAGGAGAGGAGAGGAGAGGAGAGGAGAGGAGAGAAGAGGAGAGGGTCAGCAACTAATACTACTACTGCTACTACTACTACTGCTACTGCTACTACTACTACTACTACTACTACTACTACTACTACTACTACTACTACTACTACTACTACAGCGACTACTACTACTAGTACTACTACTACTACTACTACTACTACTACTACTACTACTAGTACTACTACTACTCTATAACATTAAGAGAGGAGAAGGGAGAATAACTGCCCAGAGGAGGGGGGAGAAAAGACCCTGGCCGTGTCTGAAAACCCATACTACCGTACTAAATAGTATGCGAAAAAATAGTGTTTTCTAGTATGTGAAATTTTGAACAGAGTCCTCCGAATGCGTCCGCTAATGCGCGATTGCATTGACTCCAGCCATTCGTTCATTTTTGTAGAGAGTGGCAATGTATCTGATTATCAGCTGTTGCCAAACACGTGAGTCAGAAAAGACAAGTGAATTCTTCTTGATTAAACACCAAAATGAGTATGCAGTTTAAGTATATAGTAGGCTAATATGGGTATTCGGACACAGCCACTGTGTTATCAGTGAACAAAACCATTTCAGATCGACAGTAAACAGTATAAACAACTAGCTACAGTACAAAGAACAATCAAGAACAACCGAGAACAACCAAACACTTAATCTATGAAGATATAGGCAAACGAAAAAAGTCTGGACACATTTTTTGACAAAACATGTAAGGTACATTCATGCTCTACAGTTTAGCCTTCAAAGAGCAACAAGACACCGGGGGTTTCCCGGACACAGGTTAAGCCTAGTCCTAGACTAAAAAGCACTTTTCATGGAGATTCTACGTTGAGCTTGCTTTTTACTCCAAGACCAGGCTTATTCTGTGTCTGGGAAACCACCCCTAAATCTAGAAAGACATACAGTAAACACATACCATATATAGTCTGGATACAGTATCATTTAATATTCTCAATTTAAAATCTGACAGGAAATATCCATATAAATTTATGTCAAATCTACTCTGAGATACAAGCCCAAAATGACCTCAAAATACTATTCAAAACTATAGATGAGGTTCCCCTTTAAACCATGTCAGTGTTAACATCTACTATGAATACAATACTAAGTGTTGTTTATATTATAGAAATAATAGTTGCTACATCTCAACAGAACAATGAGCTGACATGAAACACTGTATATCAAAATGTGCTCTTTTTAAATCACATGTTAGAATACTTATTGTTTTATTACTAAATAAACATGATGGTATGTGAACAATTCTCTCACTTTGGTGACTCTGCCCTCTACCCATTTACCAATCTGTCCACAGAAATCTCTGAAAAGGTATAGCCTAAAAGTCTTTCCTCTGGAGAAGATGATAACATCTCATAACGTCTTTCAATAGCATGATTACATTTTGTTTTATCAGAGAAGAAAAATAAAAATTGACAATTTTTGTGCCGCTTCCAAAAGTCCACCACAGTGATTCATTCTGGTGAAGTCTCCATACAAAAACCTCCTTCACACAAGAGTGAGAACCTCCACACACAGTGCACTCTCAGTACCACCCTGATAGTAGTGAAGTACGAGTATAATACAATAGGGACTGATAGTACTGAAGTACTAGTATAATACAATAGGGACTCATAGTAGTGATGTACTAGTATAATACAATAGGGACTGATAGTACTGAAGTACTAGTATAACACAATAGGGACTGATAGTAGTGAAGTACTAGTATAATACAATAGGGACTGATAGTACTGAAGTACTAGTATAATACAATAGGGACTGATAGTACTGAAGTACTAGTATAATACAATTGGGACTGATAGTACTGAAGTACTATTATAATACAATAGGGACTGATAGTACTGTAGTACTAGTAAAATACAATAGGGACTGATAGTACTGAAGTACTAGTATAATACAATAGGGACTGATAGTAGTGAAGTACTAGTATAATACAATAGGGACTGATAGTCCTGAAGTACTAGTATAATACAATAGGGACTGGTAGTACTGAAGTACTAGTATAATACAATAGGGACTGATAGTATTGAAGTACTAGTATAATACAAGAGGGACTGATAGTACTGAAGTACTAGTATCAAACAATAGGGACTGATAGTACTGAAGTACTAGTATAATATAATAGGGACTCATAGTCCTGGGTTATGAGTATAATCCACTGAAGAACGCAGATCATTACATTTTCATCTTGATTTACTGATTTACAGTAGAAGTTATTTAAAACATGATAAAATCATCTGTATAATCTTATTCATAGTTAACAGTTGAATGTGGGTCCTAACCAGGAATAATATTTTCATAGGAAACTTTGCATTTTCAGCACATGCGTCAGTGGTCTGTGAGTTGAACACTTCATGACTGAGAGCTGTCCTTCATGACAACAGAACTTCAATGATGACTTTTATCATGAGCTTTGTGTGGATATTGATGTCTTTACTTCAAAGTCCGATTTACAATCTGTTGGTCTAAAATACGTTTCTTATTGAAATGTTTCATCTTAATTTTGTCTCAAATTGAGAAAATGAGACTCTAGAGATTTAGACAACATGACCAAATGTTCTCTGAAATCTTACTTTTCTCTGTTCCAGAATCCAGAGCACAGGTCACTGTGACTCAGACTCCTACAGTGGAAGCTGTTCTCCTAGTAAAGACAGTCTCTCTGAACTGTAAAACCAGCAGTGATGTGTATGACTATCTAGGCTATTACCCCTGTCTAGCCTGGTACCAACAGAAACCTGGAGGAGCTCCTACACTCCTTATTTACTATGCTACAGCACTTCAGTCTGGGACTCCATCTAGATTCAGTGGCAGTGGATCTGGGAGTGACTTCACTCTGACCATCAGTGGAGTCCAGCCTGAAGATGAAGGAGATTATTACTGTCAGAGTGAACACAGTGGTAACTAGACATGGAACACTGATTAGTGAAGTCAACTTTGAATATGTTTAGAAAGCATCATTCAGATGACATGTCCCCCATCATCATCATCATCATCATCATCATTATCAAGGTTGTGACTAGTTATATCATGACCTGAAAGTTCACTTATAAAGTTAGATGTTTGGAACACATGTTTAATTTTTGTATTTCATTTAATTTTACCTTTATTTTCCCAGGTTAGTCTCATTGAGATTAAACATCTAATTTTCAAGAGAGACCTGGCCAAAATAGCAGCACGCAAAGCTTTACACACAATTACAACATAAAACACAAAGCACTACAGTTTAACAACCGAAATGTACACATTGAGAAGGCAAGAATTCTTTACGGAGGGGTAGTACATCTGGGGGTCAACACATTGACAGCCCCGCACTTCATTGTCCACCATAGATTTTACTCAACTACTCATTCAAAGAGAGGACCTCCTGGAAAGGCCAGAGAACTGGAACAACTTTTTTTTTCAAACACAGCTCTGTAAGAGCCTTAGGTACAGTCAACAAGATAGAGTCATGTGAGCGTGGACGATATTTGTCATTTGTCTGGTTGACAATGGCGGTACATAGGTCAAATGGGAGCTATTACCAGTCAAACGTCCACATGCAGAGTTTGAAGCACAGCAATAATGCATGAGGCCATGTGTTATGACATCTTTTATCATGGCTGTGATATCGTCATACCCACGAGGCGAAGAACATGGCTTGTGACATAACACATGGCCTCGAGGATATTATTGCTTTTATACAACGTATTACAGGCATTCAAAATCTAGATTATTTCCCAAACCATAATTTTTTTCTACAAAACGTGATGCTACATCCACTAACACTGGTTGTCAAGTGACGTTTTAGGCGTTCTCTGGTCGTTAGTTCTATTCGTATTGACTGCCATGTAAAAAGCAAAACTACCCAAGCGCTGGTTGACAGTTCCAGATCCTCTAGGGACGCTGTCCATGGATTTGAAAACAGCGCTGAAACCAGGCCCTGCGCCACGAGGGTGCAAAAGGGGTCAATGCCCCCTAAGTTGGAATATTGTGCCCCCTCATGCCCATTTATTGTGTATGCTTCATTCATGCAACTCCCTTGCTCGCATCATACCTACGTAATACACATTTTACAGGTTGAAAAAAAACGATTGATTGGCCATCACAGTAGAAGGGCGGGGTCAATTTGACCTTTTAGGTTTACTTTCAAAGTTACGTACTACGAGGCCAAAGGCAAGGCCTTGAGCAGACCCGGTTCCAATTGGTCAGCCCCTGAGGATTTCTTGGTATCTATAGCAAGTAAGGCACAAAGGACTTATTTTTCTGTGAATTGCCGAAATACAAAAACTTCACTACCATTTTCCAAGTCAATCTTCAAAATTCCCAAATCAGTGTTTGTGATGATTAAATGCATCAATGATGGCATTTGTGTTCGTAATGGGGCCAGAATCTAAATAGATTTGTTGGGGCAGAGAGGAGGAAGTGCAACCCTTCAGAGACTTGACAGTTTTCCCAAATTTAACTAGATTCCCCTTACAATCAGAAAGAGTGGTTACATAATAATCAGATATAGCCTTTCTGATTAGTCTTACTCATTGATTTCTCAGTTGCCTAAAATAGTGCCAATCCGGGCCTAAGCCTGTGTTCCTGGACTTGACCCAGGCAACATTTCGTATTACAAATGACTTCGGATAATTCAGGAGTGAACCAGGCATTTGATGTACCTTTAACTCTCAGAGTTTGGAAGGGGGCATGATTATCTACATATTGAGGACATTTACAAAAAAGCTTAAAGCTAAATCAGGTTCAGGGATAGCTGAGATAAAATCAAAGTCACTACAATAAAGATCATGTAAAAAAGCTTGTTCACTGAAGTTTTTAAAGTTCCTCTTAGTGAGACACGAGACTGAGATTTATGTATTCTCACATCTCTGACTCAGACAATTGAGCAATGCTCACTAAAATCCAGTGGGAACACTCCGTTAGCACCATTTTTTTTGGAGAATTCGTCAAGATTAGATTAATCAGGGTACATTTTTTTTTATCTTTAGGATTGTGCCGTGTAGGGTAATTTATCAGCTGAGACAGGTTTAGCTCAGAGCAAATATCTGACACTGGCATCCTCCAATCAATATTAAAATCACCCAAAATTAGTAATTCAGATTTACCATACCTAGATAGTAATTCAGATAAATTGTTGATGGCATATATGTTATGTGTCCCATCCTGAATCCACCATAGAGGTTAAAACCAGTCACTCCCTCACATATGGCCCAGTCCAGGGTATTTCAGGCAGTGAAACTGTTCAACTGCCAGACTGGTAGCTGTGGGAGTGAAACTGAGATTTCCGTAGACAGGGCTGGGTGGTTCTGCTTGTCCCAGAATAGAGCAGCACTGTCACCAGATGTTCACTCTGTTCCCAGGGGGTTGGAGGTAGAGAAGACTCTATGACTATCTTGAAGCTGTGATACTTCTAATATTATGTGGACAACTAAGTCTATAAATCAAGCAGGTCAAAAACCTTTCCAAGAAAGACCTCTACTGTTAATCTGTTAACATTGTAGTATCTAGACCTCTCCTGTTAATCTGTTAACATTGTAGTATCTAAACCTCTCCTGTTAATCTGTTAACATTGTAGTATCTAGACTTCTCCTGTTAATCTGTTAACATTGTAGTATATTGTGTTACTATGACCTACAGTTTGATGACAATGTGTTTTCAAGTGAATAACTAAACTATGACATTTAGGTCTGATCATTTTCAAAGAAACTGTGAATCAGGCTTTACAAATATATTTCTATATAATTCAACATTTGACTAAAGTCTAATTATTGAAAGAGACAACGAAAATATTTGTTCCAAAGGAAAATGTTTATTTTCATCTATTAATCAAAGCATCAAAGCAAACATTCCTACAGTATCTAATAATTTTTAAAAAACAGAACACATCAAATCTAACACTGATACAACCTCAGTCTACAGAGAGGATTGACACATTAACTCAAGCAAAGCCCTCTGTTAGTCTACATGTCAGTGATCAATAAGACAGAGAACATCTGATCTCAGAACAGAGTGAAAGCAGAGGAACCAGCAGCCTCTCTCCACAGGGCTGTGTGACTGAGGGGTCCTACCCAGAACAGTCAGCCCTCCTCAGGGTCTTGGTGACTGGAGTCTGGGATTTCTGCTGGGCTTCACAGGTCACCTCTCCTGCCTTGGTCCATTCCTGGGCAGTGAGAGTCAGGGTGCTGCTCCAGCTGTACAGGCCGTCCTTCTCCAGGACCCCGGGACTGGCCTCCTGCTTCTTGCTGGTCCCATCCACTTTCCAGCTCATGGTCCAGTCTGAGGGGAAGCCCTTGTTGGCCAGACACGTCAGTGTGACTGTTGTTGTACTGGACAGCTCCTCACTAGAGGGGGCCAGGACGGTGAGGGTGGGGGCTCTGTTACCTGGAACAAACAGAACTCATCAACTAAGTAACTACATCAAGTACAGCTACAGTAAGATATTATCTTCAGCAAAGGACACATCAAAATAAAGTGACCTCTAAATATGAATGTAGAAGTTAGATAGTTTAAAAGATGTGGAGAAAACACTAAAGTAATATGATACAAAGCAGATTTATGAACCAAACAAGTATAAAGTTGTTAAATAACTAGAGTTACTAGTCATACGGTGTCAGTTATAAATGTCATATAGATACTGTTTAGGAATGGATCTGATCAGAATAGCCTACTCATATTCATAGTATTTTCATCACATATCAGCCTTGTTAGATCATGAAGTCTGTTACAAACATAACTGAGACCCTTTGTCTTCACACTAACAGTGAAATCTACCATGAACACAATTCAACAATGATGATACTATACTATTAAATAGTTGTTATATCAGAATTAGGAAATATACAAATCAGACATACAAATAATCCTACAATTTATCATTTTGATTCCATAAATATCTATTTGAAAGAAGGCTCATTCAAAAGCCCAATTTAACCAAAAATATTTGAGAGTTAAAGATCAACAATCGCACAAGTACTGTAATACACAATGCAACAACTATATTCAATATTATTAAGTAGTTATCATTCTAGAATTATACTCTGCAATCCATCAAACCAGACATACATAAACACCTACATTTTAACATTTTGGTTAAACAAAATGTTATTTGAAAGAAGGCTTCGTCAAAAGTATTAGAAATAACTATATTTTTTAGAAAGTAAAATATGTAAGACAGAGTTTAAGAAAGTAAAATACCAAAAAAATTAGCTGAAATTAATATCAAAAGAGCTTGTTACTTACTTCCAACATCTAGTCTGGTGCCGCTACCAAAAGTGTACCACAGTGATACAATCCCAATTACTGCTCGTACAAAAACCTCCTGACCATTTGGCAAGCTGAATTTCTTTAGACTGTGGTTCAAATAATTAACTCTACTATGGTATGAATACTGTTAAGAAAAGATTTCATCTACTCAATTTGAAATAAAGTGATTTTTATTTAGTTTTCCTTAACATTGAGCAAAACCTACTATTTCTTGAAAATTTCCTACTAGGTGCAGTATGTTTATTCATACAACCAATCTAAAATGTAGGCTAATCACTCCCATCTTTCAAAAATGCAGGTCAAATGTGATTAGATGGCCATAATTGGCCATAGTATGTGTAGGTCTTATATATTATTCAAAAAATCTCCTAAAAAAGTAATTTAAAAAATCCTCAATATTGAGGCACAATTAATAGAGATATTGACTCACGACATCAAAAGGGGAATAAAACAGTTCATTTTCTGTTTACTTACTTCCAATATCAAGTCTGGTGCCGCTACCAAAAGTCCTCCACAGTGATACAATCCCTATTACTGCTGGTACAAAAACCTCTCTGTGTTGTGATGCTGCAGCTGTTACAGTGAAGATCACTCATACAGAATCATAATCAACACAAATACACTTTAACATCTTCCAGGTAGAACAAACACTTCATATAAGCTGTTTCTAGATAATACAAATATGAATTGTATCTTAAATCCAGATATGAGTCTTTTTTCCTTCTTCTGTGTATCAGGTGTTCTCCTAGTCTGGAGGTACAGTCCAGCATTAGATACAGTGTTGCTAGTATTCCTCCATATTGTCCATATGAAAGACAACAGCAGCAGCAGTAGTGATAGTGATCCATGTTGTATATTCCTTTATTAAAGATGTTGATCTCCGATTTAACAGTGGTGGTAAAGTCACAGAGGACAGACAACACTACCAGAGGAATCCTACCAGCTTTAGTTTAGAGAAGTGTTCACTAACTGATTAGAGGAACTTACATGAGAGACCAAGCATGAGTGATCAGACAGTTCATTATATCTGATCATCATCAGAATAAAAATACAATGGTGGTGTGACATAAAAGTTACCAAGCATCAGTTATTAGAGTAAACAGTTACGGTTTGATTTTATATGCAAGATAAAACACATTCTAATTATGGGAGCCTATTTGGAAACTGAAATAGATTTGAAACATTCATTTGCATAATGCATCTGCCCAGCTGCTCTGGGAGTGTTTATATCCCTGTGATTTGAACACTTCATGACTGAGAGCTGTCCTTCATGACAACAGAACCCACAACAACCATGACTTTTATCACCATCTTCATCTGGACACTTGCCCTCTGTCTCCAAGGTAATATATTTGACTGAAAATTAACCAAACCATTGCAATAGTAGGCTATATAACCTTATTACAGTTTAAGTTAATATGCTATATGGACATATGAATGAACAATTTAATGCTAATTCTACATGCCATCTCTGTTTCAGAGTCCAGAGGCCAGGTCACTGTGACTCAGACTCCTGCAGTGGAAACTGTTTCAGTGGGTCACTCAGTCAGTCTCAGCTGTAAGACCAGCAGTGCTGTATACAGTAACAGCAATGTACACTTTCTAGCCTGGTATCAACAGAAACCTGGAGGAGCTCCTAAACTCCTAATATACTTTGCTACAACACTTCAGTCTGGGACTCCATCTAGATTCAGTGGTAGTGGATCTGGGAGTGACTTTACTCTGACCATCAGTGGAGTCCAGGCTGAAGATGCAGGAGATTACTATTGTCAGAGTTACCACTATCCCAATAGTAAAGATGTGTTCACACAGTGATATAGAGCCGTACAAAAACCTCCCTCAGTCAGACTGCACAATGACTGTACTGCTACAGCTGGGACCTACTGCAGGTGCTGAGGGGGAAGAGACAGTGACATGGAACACTGATCAGTAAGGTCAACTTACAACTTATAAAAGTTAAATGAAGTTTTAAAACACACAATACCTGTCCCTATGCAGAGTCAGATATACAGAAGTAAAAAATAAATAAAGGTGGTGTTACATCAGCTTCAGCCTCCCTAAATCAAATCCCCATATGTACCTCACAACCAAATATTGATGTGATCATCTAGCATTATATTAACTGTTTTGGTGATCAGGTTACTGACTGTTACATCTGTGAATGAGACATGATGCTGGGCTCGAACATTAGACACATTTATGTAGAGACATACACTATACAGTATTATCAAAAAGTATAATATCAATTTTATATGTCATTAATTACATGATGGCATATATATTGTGTGTCCCTCTCTGAATCCACTATAAAGGTTCAAACCAGTCCACTCCCTCACATCTGGCCCAGTCCAGGGTATTTCAGGCAGTGGAACTGTTCAACTGCTAGACTGGCAGCTGTGGGAGTGAAACTGAGATTTACATAGACAGGGCTGGGTGGTTCTGCTTGTCCCAGATTAGAGTAGCACTGTCAAAACAATCTTTATTTGAACTCAAAGGCAAGAAGACATGAACAACTTAATCTCAAAATAGTTCATTTAGCATACAACACTACTGATATTATTCACTATTATGCTAACATTCAGCTGTAAATCACTAATGTTTCCTTCACTAGCACCATGTGTGGACTCTCTAGACCCCTACAATGGCTTCTAGACACTACAGCGGCTGAATCACTTGTATCGTCATGGACGATCCTGCAGAAATATAAAACACTGAGCTAAATATATCAGTGATGCTGACAATATGTCAACTCATCCCCTCTCATGTCAAAGCATTCCTTAAGTGACAACACCCATAGGTCCAGACTACATACATATTCCTCCCCTGTTGCTATGGCAAACAAACTTTTTTGTAACATATCACACAATAAGTTGAATGGACTCCATCTATGTGCAATAGAAATTTCTCACATCATTTCAGAATAAATAACCCAGCTTCTGTAAGGTCCCTCAGTCAGGTATTGAATTTAAAGCAAATATTAAACAATATTTATTGAGATTATGTAACATGATTATAACCCCCTAAAATGTCCTGTGGTTCTGTCAAGGCAAAACGTCTCTCCTGCCACACCTTTTCAGCACCTTCCCATTCTTTAATTGAACCCAGCTGAGGCTTGTTAACCAATTAAGACCATGATTGGCTGGACAATGCTGCTGCTCACACAAACCTCTTCTACGAACGAAGGTTGTGAGAGGTGAAGGAAGCATGGAGAGGTCAGAGATAGTCAGACTTGTAAAATGGGCTAAGGAACAGAAGTTGGGTTTTGGAGAAGTGCCATCAGTGCGTGCTCTGCAAGCAATGTAGCTGATGAAGGTGCGACAAGAGCGTGGTGAACGGATAGATGTGATTGTGGACAGCAAGGAAGAAGGAGAAGAGCCGAGTGTAATGGGAAGATGTGTGTTGAGGAAGAATGGAGTCAGACATGATAAAGAAGAATCTGGACCAATAGTAGTGACATTTTGGAGAAGGTGGACCCTTGTCTTTTGGCAGATCCATTTGTGGTTTCAGGGTGGGTGAGAAAGGAGTTGGAGGTAGTTGAATCAATGAAGGTAACCAGGATGAGAGGGAGAGGGCGCTCCGTGTCACGTAACTTGGGTCAAGATCTGTTTCTTGCTTTGCTCTTAGGAACAGGGCACCATTGAAAGGGGTGATTTCTGGGGTAGCATTAAGTGTGGATGTAGCGATTGAAGTTGAAAATGTCTGGTGTTTGTGACGCCCGCCGTTTGGTGCGACACAGGTCCGGTGGGGAGAGTGGTGAAACAGAGGAGTCATTGTCAGTCCTTTTGAGTTTTGAGCCAGACAAAGTCATGTTAGGATATATTAGTTATCCTGTTAGAGCATTTGTGCAGAATCCACTGCGCTGTTTCAGGTGCAATGTTTATGGTCATGTTGCAGCATTGTGTAGGAGGGAGATTCTAAGATGTGGGAAGTGTGCGGGATGGCATGGGACAGAGGATTGTGTAGTTTCGGTGGATAAAGTTGTGTGTGTGTCAACTGTAGGGGTGCTCATGTTGCTGGAGATCGGAAGTGTCCGGTGCGAGAGAGGCAGGTTGAAGTGGCCAGAGTCTGAGTAGTGCAGAGGGTGTCGTATGCTGAGGCAGTGAAGGAAGTGGAGGAGGATGGGTCAAGGGTGAGGGATCCTGATAGGATCCCAGTGAGTAGTAGATTTGTGCTAGCACAGAGGGATAGGGCAAGACGTGAGTTATGCTTCAGTAAGGTTGTCTTCTTAGCATTCAGAGCAATGGTTATCAACTGTACCGCAGAAATGGAACATAAATCACAGAGAATAGATGTTGTGGTGGCAGCTGCAGAGAAGTATTTGGGTATACGAGATTTGACAACAACCATTACTTTTATCACCATCTTCATCTGGACACCTGCTTTCTGCTTTCAAGGTTACAATATATATTTACACAAAGGAATAATGTTAACATTTCATATAACTTTTTTTTCTATGTTTCAGAATCCAGAGGACAATACACTGTGACTCAGACTTCTGAAATGAAAGCTTTCCACCATGGAGACAGAGTCAGTTTAGGATGAAGATTTCACAAGCCTCCTGCTTGTAGTCCCCCTCCTGCTTGTAGCCTGGTATAAACAGAAACTTGGAGGAGCTCCTAAACTCCTCATTTGCTATACCAAAACACTTCAGTCCAGGCTGAAGATGCAGGAGATTACTACTGTCAGAGTTTCCACTATCCCAATAGTAAACAAAAACCTCCCTCAGTCAGACTGCACAGTGACTGTACTGCTACAGCTGGGACCTACTGCAGGTGCTGAGGGGGAAGAGACATTGACATGGAACACTGGACCTGTGGGTGTTGTCAGTTCAGGAATGATTTAACACGAGCGTGGAAAAGTTGACATTATAGTCAGCATCACTGATATATTTAGATCCGTATATTTTAGTTCAGTCAGACCACATAAATATGCCTTCCCTGTTGCTATGGCAAACTAACCTTTTATTAACATGTCAGACAATAAGTTGAATGGACTCCATCTAGGTGAAATATTGTCTCACATGATTTCAGAATAAATATCCCAGTCTCTGCAAGGTCCCCCAGTCAGGTAGTGAGTTTCAAGCAAAAATTCAACCATATTTACTAAGATCATTTAACATGATTA